GTAATTATTAAACATATTTCAGCCCCCTAATTCGAAAGATCATAACCTTTTACTTAAAATTTCGTTCAGTAAAAAAAAAATGCTATCAAATTGTTTCATACTTCATTTTGAAAAATGTATTTATTTTGATCAATGATAATTCCCACTAGTGAATTCTCACGGAGTACTTTGTCATAGTCGATAGAAAAAACAATTTTTTAAGCGCACAATTAGCAAAGAAGTTAACTTCGTGTATTTATTTTTAATTAATAGTTAAGAAAGGTAAAATGAACAAATAAACCATTTGAAAGTCGAACAAAATTATAATCTTGCATCCGTGGTTTTATATATGCACACTACTGTGGTACAATACATTAAGCAAATAGTTGCATCATTAGCATTAAGTTTTAATTCTCAACTTATGTGAATTTTTTTTTTTCACTATAGTTCAGCATATGAAAATACTTAATTTCAAAACAACTAAATTTTGCGATTATTTTACTATAATTAAGTACCGAAATGTTAAATATTAACTACCGAGGAAAAATACTTAAAACTGTTCTAAAAAATAAATAAAAGAATATTCTGATACAACTTTTTTAATTTGCAACTTTTTTTTAATGGAAAAGTTTGAATGTTTTCTTCGCATTCAACAATAAAATTCTCTTTACTTTAATTTTATACTTTTCAAGAAGGGACTTTAAAATTTTTGTTACAAAAATAGAGGTGTGTGAAAGAGATATGTAACTGTTGAATCAAGTAAAAAATTATTTGCTTTTGCTCCTGGTCATGCTGATCTCCATAACATAGACCTCTCTCAAATTACAGAAAAATGCTTGAGTCTTGTCAAGCTTGATTTCTCCATGATGATCTGTTTCAATTAGAATATGGTGTATTTAACTAATGCAATATGCAATACTTCTCATTGGCTCTTCAGCCGACTTCGCCCTTTTTGGAGGATAATAAAGATTACGTATAAAAATAAGTGGATATTTCCGTATCGTGATCGATCACGCCAACTACTATCGCCAAGGTGCCAAATGGATTTTAAACTTACAAATTTGAGGAAAAAAAAACTTGCAGATGTTTGCCCGGATGTGGCTACGAGTTATACCTTTCGAGTTGGCCCCTTTCTGTGATATTTTCTTTTAGTTTCTCGCGGGCTACTGCCTGGAAGTTTCCAAGACTTGGTGGTTATTCTGCCACAGATCACGATACGGAAAAACGTGTAATACTCATAGAGTTAAGAGTGGTAATACTCGAATTATAGTATCGGGACATCTTTCCGGTGCGTTCCGACCCCACTACTCCTTTTAACATACATTGGAGTACAAATATATTAGTACGCCATCATGACAACTTAGTTCCTCTGATTATTGGAGATCGAAATGGGCTACATGTGGCGTAGAGCAGGATTCTCTACCTATGGCAACACCTGCTTTCACCATTAGCGCGTGGAGAGTCATAAAAGAAGGAAGTACGTAAGTTTCTGTCTTGATTTTAATATAGATTAAAATTTGTGAAGTTGTGAAACTATATGGAACTGAAAACTACATTAAGCATTGTCCTAAAAGAAAGATTGATCAAAGCATCATGGAAATTTAAAAAAATATTTTTATTAATTTACAAAAATATTTTTATTAATTAAAAGAGGAGGAAAGGAAAGGGAGAAAGGCCAAAGTCATGGAATCAGAGATGGTGTATTCAAGCATTGCGATCGCCTATTCCTTGTAGTAGGGAATTTTACACAATTTCCCTTTTCTTTTTCCTTTTCAAGCAGGGAATTTTTTTCATGGAAAACATTCTAAACGATGTGTTTTAACAAGACAAGTTCGTAAAAAGCTTTCCAGGTTTCCCTTTTATTCAGCTTGTATGCCAAAGAGTAAACGAAATCAACTCAAAAGTTTGAAAAATTTGTTGATGAGGTGAGTGTTGGTGGTTTGTAGTTGTTGATGTTTGTTGATCTTCATTATAGTGAGTTATGAATTTGTTCTCTTAATTTATTGACATATTTATAATCCTTTTTAATTATCGTATTTAGCTGAACTTTTTTGGATCTATTCCCACTATTGTAGCGAATATGAAATCATAGTTATAGTTTATTTTGGCGCATCTGTTATAGGCTCTAATCAGAAATTGCATTTATACGGCAATGTAACATTTTATTTATCTGTGTTGGTAAAATTCTATGTTTATTTATTTGCTTAAATCGTCATATACCATTGGTAGAGACGCTTGATTATTATGTGATATCGCAAAAAATACTGTTCTTCAAAGCCACATTCTGTGATTATGATGAAGTCTCAAATCATTCTGAAATATGCTTAATAATTTGGCTTAATCCTAGTACACAGTGCACGGACAATTTGGCGATCTTTGGAAAGGCGATTAAGTTTAATTTTATTTATTTTTTTGTTGTGAGAAAGTAACCACCTGAAGGCTGACTTCCACATGTTTTTTTTTTCTTTCTTTTTTTCATTTGCAAGTTTAAAATCCACTTGATGACTGATCAAAATCTCTCTCTTTTTTTCATTGTTTTATGTATTTACCATTTTCAAGTTAGGATTTTTCTATAGTTTTCCCTTTCCCAATTGTTGGTCACAAGCATTATCTTGTAATATTTATTTTGATTTTTTCCTTAATTTTATTCATTTAAACTTATTAGACTAAAACATGAACAAAATAAGGATTTAAAAAACTTTTAGAAGGCAAATATTATTTGGATGTAGTTAATAGTTGTATTTGCAAATAATATTTATAATTTTGTCAAAATGGAGAAATAATAGTGATCAAAATTATAGGGATATTTTTATTTTGGAAACTTGTTTCGCACTCACTATAATTGACAAAGTGCTGAAAAGATTTTAAACTTGGTAAAATTTAAAAAAAAAATTACATGGAAGTTTGCCTGGTATTGACTACTAGTTATACCCTTGGAGTTGGCCCTATTCTATGATGTACCACTGCACAAAAGTCGCCAATATTTGGTGGTTATTTTTGCCCAGGTATAAATATGAAAATCTTCACTAGACAATTTTCATGTTAAATCAGAGTGCTTGTCAAACTCAAAAGTTTCAAAAATGAAAGCTATATAAATGGGCTATAAAATGCTTCAACATATGTTTTTGTTTTTTATTCACCTTTTTTTCAAAAAAATGTTGAAAATTCTTACCTCAAGGTGTTAAACATCATTCACTAATACTTTTTGACGAAAGCAATACTTTGTTGAGCTATAGAAACCCTGCTTTCTTTTCTTTTTCGCAAAATTCATTTTTTTTTTTTTTTAATATGTATATATTTCTAATAGCATCCACTTTATAATTTATCATAAATAAAGTTATGTGTTAATAAAATGATAAAATGAAAAGTGAATTAGACATATTATTCATGAACATTTTTATAATAAATATGGTACTATTTTGGTTATCGGAACCATAAAGCCAAGCTTGACAACATTTAGAAACAACACCAGATTCTGGTTTACAAATGTCACTGGCAAGTGATATTTCATATAAGTGTATCAAATAATACTGCTATCTTTAATAATAACTATATACATCAAACATCAAATACAAAAATATAGCGATCAATTTCAATAACTTAACATTTCAAAAGGATAACATTGAAAATATCAAACATAACCAGTGTTTCCGTTAGACTTTGGAAATTATGGTTCATGGAACTCAGAACTTTTAATTTTGTGCACTTTTTATCACCTAAATTTGTATTTCATTTTAATATAATATAAGTCCTTTTTTTTTTAAATATTTGTACATGAAAAGTTATGCTTTATGGCTCAAATAAAATCATTAAAATGCAATAATCAATTGATTTAGTAATAATTCGAAAAATAATTATAACCAAAATATCCATGTTGTTTTTAAACATTCAAATCAGATGATTTTTCCCAATGTTAGTAAGATGCACAATCTTTTTTTTTATATCTGCACACCTATGTATTTATGCTAAAGTGATCATTGACTCATCTATGATGAATTAATCATGTGAAACAAGAATTTGCTAATGGAATGCTAAAGCAACCATCAATGAGAAGTAACATGCTTTATAAAAAAATTTAAAAATGAGCAGTAAATTAACAACTATGTAACAAAACTAGCAAAAAAAAAAACATGTAAAAGAAATAATTTAAGGGTACAAAAATAATGAGGAAGGTAATTCAGTGATCAAATATTTACATATTATTCCAGTTTTTTTTTCAACCTCTCAGATTTTACATCCAATTTATTGCATTACTTTAATTAATACTCAAGAGTCTTTTTCTAGTGATCATTTCTTGTGCATGTAATGACAGATTTAGAATAATCTGATCAAGGAATTCAATGCAATTCTAAATGCTGCTAAGTGTTTATAAATATTTAAAAGCTTTGAATTGTTTTCTGTTTACTTGAGAATTCTTATTCATGCTTTATGCATATTTGAGTTATATGATTTTTAAATAATTATTTGCTTAAACATTAATGCATATGTGTCAGAGTTATACATAAATATAATTTACTTGTAATCAAAGTAATGTGATTGCAGGTAATCATAATGATATGTGACCATAATTACATATAATCATGATTACATGTAACAGTTTTATACCATTGGGCTAGGGGCGTACAAAAGGGGTTTTGTCTTGGTCATCGAATCGACTACTAAATGTTTTATTCTTTCTAGATAGGGAAAAAAATTTCTATGAAGATATTATGAAAAGTTTCTCTGTAAATTCATGTAATGTTTGTAATAAGAGAGTTTTATATTATTTTTAACTTTAAATCAACCCTTTATTCAAAGGAATGTCAAACATATTTTTATATAATTAATCTCGTTGTTAAGCTAAAAGCTCTGTTAAGATTAGATGTTGCTTAATAAATGAGAATCGCTGTCTAAATTCTGTTTTTAAAAATAATTTTTAACATATGCACTGAAAGTGAAAGTTGATATCCCTGATTTGAAACAAAAATTATGACTAATAAAGAATATTTTTAATTTTATTTATTTACATTTTATAGGTAAAACCATGNGCTGTTTACGATCTTCCAGCTAAAGCACCTGAGCTTCCTATTGCTGACATCAATAATTGTCCGATTTATAATGCAGGTAATAAAAAGAAGTACTTACAATACTGTTCCTTTTTTTTCCCTTATGAAATATAAAATTATGTTATGTAAAATATATTTTTATCATATGTTGTTGACTCTCTGAAATCTGCATATTTTGATACTAGAAGCTTTGCTGATTTTAGAATTTTAGATTCTACATTAGAATTTACAGTTTTTAGAATTCTAGGATGATTTACTTAACCTTTCTAATTCAGACAGAATTTTAAGCACTCTTTTGTTTGCATAATTTTATGCATGAGTAAAATCCCTTCCTTAAAGCCATAATCATAATAAGATGTAAAATTATAGGAAAAAAAATCTATGTTCCACACAAAAAAGCAGGAGTATATTGAAATTATTATAAAATATAAACCAAAGTTTTTATAAAATATCTTGATTAACAATAGATAACACTGTATAAAACAAATAATCTAATCAATCACTTAAATATGATCCATTTTATATTCCTTTTTGCAGTTCTAGATCCATCCAATTTTGTGTTTTAAATAAAAGGAAATCAGAGGTAATGTTCATTATAGAATTATATTTTTTGGAATAAATGATAGAAAATAATAATATGAATAAAAAAAATTACAAATGGAAAGAACTGCAGATGATCTGGATGAAATGAAATGTTTTCATTAAAGTAGATGAGACTAATTACAATAAAATCAGTAACACTTAATAGGAGAGCACAATACTGATAAGAATATTAAAGTTCCATTAAAATTTGCTTGTTTTACATCCTTTACAAGTTCAACCTACGGATAATTTGAAGTTTGCAATTGGGAAAATAGAGGAAACAAACAGTTATCTAACAATAATCGTAACATTGATAATTTTAAAAACTTCAAAAAGTATGTAAATTGAAATTATAGTTAGATGTATTTTGTTACTAATTGTTTGACCACACAAAAGTCATGTTTTATTGTTACTAATTTGCATTCTGTTAATTGCCTAATTAAAAAAATTATCACTTAATTTATAATTTAGGTCTCCTAGTTAAATTTAATGAATATTTAATTACTTTAAGAACCTTTAGTTCAACTTGGAGGAAGAAACCCAATTTAAGAAAACGATATATTAACATTTTTAAAACCTTGATTTTTTTAATCCCTTAATTATAAGCTGGGGGCAGAAAATTCTCAGAACTTAATAGTTCCTTTGAAGGTAGTTTTTCTTTTGTTTAAAATCCCCTGAAAGTAGAATTATTATTATTATTTTTAAACTTTTTTAAAGTAAAGTTTGTGCATATATTGCTAAAATTTATTGATTATAATTTTTTTTCTTTAACAATGAAAATTTTTTTTTTTTGATTTTACACATTTCTTAGAAATGTTTTTTTTAATGATAAAAAAATTTCATCAATTTATTTAAATTAATTAAATTTGTTCAAAGCTGCCTTAATTTCCCCCAAATCTTGTTCATATTATTTGACGTATTCTGCACCAATGATTTAGTATTTATATTGTTTTAATTTTTTGAAGTTATTATTTTTGCATGTTTAATCATTCAGTGATTGTTCGTATCTAAAAGTAATATTCATGTTGCAGGCGTGAAGAAAGAAGGCAAAGGTGTACTGTTTAAAGATTTAGTATCTCTACAGTATGAACTGGAATACATGCAAGTTTGTATGTTAAGGAGACAAGAGAAGCTTAAGGTTGAAATCTCCAATCTTGAAAATCCAGCAGCTAAAAGAAACAAAAGATCAAGAGTATGCAAATACATTCATTTTATTCTAATGATTTTATGCTACCTATAGCTGAGATTAGACCTGAAACTAAGCACTGGTCACATGGCGAGTCAACAAAAGAAAGTGGTGCCTTAAATAAAATAAACTACCGGTATTTTTATTTTCTCATCACTATTTTAAAAAATTGTTTAATGAGAAAAATACATCAATGTAGAAAGATACTCTGGAAAGCAGAATTTTCGTTAAAATGTGAAATGTTTCCATTCAAAATTTTGAGAATTCATGGTGGAAAGATTCACGTGAAAGCAGAGTTTTTGAACAATTCACATTTTTCAAAGTTGTAATGTATTTTGCCTGCCCAAATATTTTTACATTAAGTTCTTCAGTACGTCAGTATCTTTAATTAAATGTTCTCACATATTTATCTTATTTTTATTGTTTAATTTACTTTTATAGCCATTGATTAAATTGAACATAAATTTTTCAAAAATATATTTTAATCCAAGCAAGAAAGTTTGCAAAAATTGGCTATTAAATGAAACAGGATATTGGTTCACCGACTCATTAGATTGGAGGAAAAAGTAGTTACTGAGTCATTAAAGTCTACCGTCCACTGGTTACTAACTGAAAATTAGAATTTTTTATGTCTAGCCGAGATACCAAGTCTCCTGAATTTTTCTGGTTAATAAATTGGTAAACTTAAAATTAAATGCTTGTTCCTGGTTGCTTGAAGAATTTCTTAGCTCTCCATTTTTTACTTGAAATTTTAAAGGTTATTATTTTTGTAACCCGTTCAATGATTGCTTGCATTAGGAAAGTAATATTCATGTTGCAGATGTGAAGATAATGTGAAGGGAGAGGAAAATTTTTTGGAATAATTTTTTTTCTGAAGAAAAGTACTTTGAATATATTTTACTCAAATGATGAAAAAATTTTTGGAATAAATCTTTTTCTAAAGAAAAATACTTTGAATATATATTACTCCTACTAATAAGTATTTAATACTTAATTAACTATTTTTAACAAATTCCTTTATGAATTAAATTTTTCTTGCTTTTTAGTCTTCCGATTCTGGTGGGAAGAATGCCAAACAATCAAAAAAGTGTAAAGGCAATGGTAAAAAAGCTTCCACTCCTTGTCGACCAAAGAACAAATTTGTTCAGGTAATTAGTTTAGTTTTGCTCAATAAAAAGCTTTTTTATTTCCAGGTTATATTGTTATAATGAAACAGCTTACTCTTTTTCTGGTTAACTGTTACAAATTTTTAATTAAATTAAGAAAAGAGAATTGTAAGATAATTAATGTAGCCTAAATAAGGCTTAAATGCAAAATAAGTATTGAATTTTTTTTAATTGAGTATATACTGTACCACAGCGGTTCCCAATTTTTTTCGACTACGTAGCCCTAAATAATCAGTCTTCTCATGACAGATTTTGTAAAGAAAGTTTATTAAGTTAATTGTGATAATATAATTTATCACAATTAACTTAATTTGTAATAATAATAATAACATTAATATAATTGTAATAATAATAATAACATTAATATAATTGTAATAATAATAATAACAATTAACTTATAAATTTATAAGATAATTAATGTAGCCTAAATAAGGCTTAAAAGCAAAATAAGTATTTAATTTTTTTTTATTGAGTATATACTATACCACAGAGGTTCCCAATTTTTTTCAACTACACTGCCCTAAATAATCAGTCTTCTCATGACAAATTTGGTAAATAAAGTTTATTAAGTTAATTGTGAACATTATAACTTATAAAAGACTATTTTAAATATTTAATTAGTGGTATGAAGATTTTTAACTGTTTTATTATTAATAATCTTAAATTATGTTTTCTATCAGGCAGTGAATTTTCAATCATTGTGCTAGATCTAGTCTTGTTATGAATTTGTTTTTGGTGTAGATACATAAATAAGCTGAGAAGAAATAAAATAAGGCAAATTATGGTCTGAAAATGAAAACTTTGCAGAACTAGGTTGAAAATGGTTATTTGTCCTTAGAAGTATTATATTTTCTTTTACAGAAATGCCATTTCTATTTCTTTTGACATTTTGCTTGAAATAATTTCATGAAAGCAACCAAAAGATTAAATAAATTATGAGATGGATTTAAATATAATCTGAGGTTTCAAAACCCCTCACTGGTTATAAAAAGTACTAACTCTCGGAACCCCTTTAACTCTTCAACGGAATATCATTTGGGAACTGTGGCTGTACCCTATAGTTTAATTTTGGTAATGTCATTTGGTACATATGCTTCCAATCTTTTTTCTATTGTTCATTCAAATATGATAATTTTTTAATAAAATAAATTAAAAGCTTATTCATTACAGCCTCCACCAAGGTCTTATGAGTGTGGGGTCACAGATGCCCTAGTTGAAACTCCTAAACCCACAAAAAATGATGGTCCTTCTCGATTTTGGTCCTTCATTGAACCCTACTGTGCTGACATCACTGAGGATGATATTAAGGTATTCCACTACTACATCTCTTTTAATATTTATAAAATCAGGAATTTCTTTTAATGTTTTAAGGATCTTGAAACAATTAGTAAATCTTATGACTGACAATAGTTTGTCTGTTGCTGTTACTAATTAGCTAAATTAGTTTGTAGTACTGTAGAGTTCTGGAAAGCCAAGGTCATTGTCACTGGATCATTTGTTAAGTAAAATATAACTGTTTATAACAAAATATTAACATGATTAAAGTATGAATTTGAAAGATATGCTTGTGTAGCTTCTAGCTGTAGTTTTAATTAGGTTGTTTTTTAAAAGCAAATAGACTAACCAAATGCAGATCAAATGGTCTTAAGTATTGGTCCAGTTGCTTACAAATAGGGTTGCTTTTGGAACAGTATACTCTTTGAATTTAAGAGAGATTACTTTGCGAAATCTGAAGATAAGTAGCGTGTCTTTTATTCTCAAGTCTTGCTACATGTTTGGTATTGTTCTTTATCCTGTCTAGATTGCTATATTGCATTTAATTTCTGTATTTGCTTGCCTATAAATGTTCTACCATCCTCTATGGAGCAGGCTGCCCTATTGATTTGGGACCATTAAAAAAAAATTTCTAGTTTTTTTAATACTAATAGTAGGAAAAGTTTTTAATTTACTCTTTTTCTTATTTCGACTTCAAAGTCTAAGTGGTTAGATCAAGGCATTATCTGACATGTCTATATTTTTGACCTTTAAAGTTTTGAACTCATCCTTATTTCTTACTCTGTGCACGAGTTCTTTTTTTATTGTTGCTCCCCTCGCTCCAGTCTCATAAGCAATTAAATTTTTTATATATTACCATGCTGAACTATGCATAACATATTTCAAACATTTAAAAACAAAATTATTTTCCTATTTCATTTTTTTTTTTCTATAAATAAAAATCATCATCAGTATAATTTTTATTATTTTTATACCACAACCTTGAATTGAGTGCAGAATAAAATCTATTTTGAGAGATTTCCTCTACATCTACCTAAAACAATAGAATTCGAAAACCATTATATGGTTGCTGATGTCTTGATTTCATTAAAACTCTCTATTATTTCTCACGCTTTCTTTTACGCCAACACATTTGAATGCGTGAGGCTAAAAAAATGTGCCTTGGCATTAGATTTAATCAACTAATAGTCAATACGGATTCTTGTACTTTTCTTGGCAAAAACCATGCCAGAAGAGACACATATTTTTGATTTCTTGGTGGACGGAGGTGTCCTGTGGGGTTTAACCCTGCAGGCACACCCTCTGGACTATTTTCAAAATATATTAGTTTTTATGTACATGAATATTTTTTTTTACTTTGGAGTTCCATATAATTCCATATTTCTGAAATAAAATACTTTCATTATTTATCGAATTTAATTCTTCATTAAAGCAATTCCTATTGTTTAATATGCACATCACTCTTGCCTACATCACACTGGAATAATATATGAGAAATTGAAAATACATTCATCAACATTTTCAAATCATGGTAATTCATTGAACTTCTTCAATAAATAGTAATTTCTTAAGCACCAAAACCTTCCTGGATACATATACATGTGTGTGTGTATATATATACATGTGTAAGTTAAAGATACAACTAAAACAAGAAAAAAAATTTAAAGAGGAAAAATTATTACTCAATAAATTGTTTTTGAAAAATTTAAAAAAAAAAAAGTTGTAAAACAACATAAGGAAGAGCTGTAATCTCGTTGTCAGCTCACACCATTATATTCACAAAAAGAGTACTTTCTAATATTGGATGCAACCAAGCAAAATATATCAATACAATAGTGTGAGGAGTACAAAAAAAAAAGATTTTTAAAAATTATTTATTTTTTAAAATAAATAAATTATTTACAGTTGATTTTACAGCTGTATCACTGTTTGCTCGCATTTTTGCAAACAAGTACAGTATTTTTTTCCTTCCTTTTATTGTGCTGAAATTATTATTTCCATAGTGAAGATATTTTTCAAAATTCAATTGTTTAGAACGACTTTTATCGCTAATTTTCTTTTTAATGTGTAACTCAAAAGAAATTATTGAGTCCAATTTTTGAGGAAGACAAAATTAAAATACACAGCCACACTAGTTCTCTAAATTTTACAATTTTTCAATTTGCTAAACATCTGTAAAAAGATTAATATCTTTTTTGATTTTAGCTCTCGTGATTTTACCTCAAATTCCTTTATTTGTCTGAAATATTATATTGAGTGGTGCTTTAAGAGATTTTTAATTAATGAGGAGGACATATACCCAATGAGGCCTGGGCTAAATTTAGATAAATAAATTTTAAATATTATGTTCAATTGTGTGCTAAAACTTTTGTATAATTAGCATTTATCAATGAAACTGTATTTATTGGTTCACAACAATGCAATTCTGGCTTATTTATCCCCTTATTACTAGCATATTTTTCTGAAACATCCTCACAATGCCTCACTTAGGCTTAAATATATTTACAACTTGTTTTTAGCTTGTTAAAAAGGCTTTATATCATTTTTTTTAAAATTATTTTATCATGTTTCATATATCAGTTATTAAAATTTTACATTAGCTATTTTAGAAAGTATTTTCAATGCACTTAATCTATTGTAGTAATTCTAGGAAATGTTAAATCTGTCAATAAACGCAAACATTTAAATCTTTTATAGAAATATTTATTGAATTGTTTACACAATGTTAATAAATTTTTTTTTTATTAAAAAGCTTTTCCTTGTCTATATGTTAACATCAGTGTATGAAATGTTGACATTCTACAAAATATCTAGTCATTATTTAGAATGCCTATCATTGTTAGGCCAAAGGGAAAAAAAAATGAATCATGAAAATTATTATATTTTTTGCTATTCACAGTTTAGAAAGCCTCTAGGATTTTCATGTCTGTAAAATGTTAGGCAATGTCTGAAATATTTCTCAGATGGTTTGTCAATAGAATGCCTTGGCAATGTTAAAAATAATAATCTTTTTATACTTCATCAGGTAACTGTAGGCATTCTATTAAGATTTCAACTATCGACAGTAACATATTTATATATATTTTTCTCACAGTCGATTGAAACCTGGATTAACTCACACGAAGAGGATGCAGAGTACCAAAAAATACCTGAATTGGGAAATCATTTTGCTGAACAGTGGCCAAAAGATGAAATGAGTGAAGAATTAAAAGAAGGTATGGGAAAATTCATTTGCTTCTGTAATATTTATTGTGTAGAATTGTTTTTCAAATTGATATCCAAAGTGATTTATTCATAGTTTTTTATTCTTTTGCTTTTTTAATTTGAAACAAATAATTTAGGTCAGAAAAGTATTGTTAAGTTATTTTACTGTAATTTCAAATAATTAATTTTTAAGTAATTCAAAGACTTTGTAATTAATGTGCTGGAAGATGAAAGTTAAACTTGTAATGCTTTCGGTTTCATTTTTGCTATTTTTTAGCTGATATATAGAAGAATGCCCTTGCGTAAAAAATATCTGAAAGTTAAAAATTCTGTTTGAAAAAATTTCTGTATTTTACAGATTTTTAACTCTCTATAAATGTTGATACATTTAAAAAAAAATTATTAGTGTCTGTAGTTTTGTTAAAATGTCATGGCTGATTTGAAATCGCAATTAAAAAAATTATCTTGAACGCTTTGAATATGTACATTTTCTAAAGTAAAGTCAGTCTCAGTTTTTTCAGATAGTTGAGAGTTCCTGCTGCATAATGAAATACAATTTATTTATTTCTTAAATGGACTTATTGTAATAACTGCTGAAATTATTCATTACACAAATATATATTAAGCTTTTGCTTTCATGATTTGTTTAATGGAGACTTTGATATATGCAATTGCTGTAGTATTTATTAAACACTTTAAATCAAGTTGCGTGTAATATGATTTAGAAGGGGAAAATAAGGATTGAACCTTAAAGTACATAAATCTATTTTTATATATATAATCTACAAATCTATTTTTTAATAGTGTAAAAGTAGAACATTATGCTATTTATTTATAAATATCTATTCAATGGATAAAGTGTGAACCAGCAAAACCAGTCCCTTAATCTATAATGCAATAGCAAATATTTATTCATTTTTATTAGTAAATCTATTAAAACAACATGTTTTAACATGTTTAGTAATTCTATTAAAACAACAGTAATAGATTTTATGTTATGCACATTTTTTTTCCTTATTTTAAAATAAATTCATGTGAGTTTGTGATTAAATATCTTTATTTTGACTTATTTTTTTCCCCTTTTATGTTTTTTAAACTATTTTTTATTGCAATTTCTTATAGAAGCTAATTTCTAGTAGGTTATTTTTGCTTTAAATTCATGTTTAGAAAAATTTCTTTCTTAATACTGTTAGCATATGAGTAATTTCTGCTTTTTTTTTATTTTACCTAAACCCAGTGAATCCAATTATTCAATTCTCATTTTATAGTTTTTGTTAAATATGTTTGAAATCGTATACATTTAGCTTTTGTAATAAAAATTCCACATATTCATTAAATGAACAATTTTGCCATCAACAAATAATTATTTAATGTATAAACAAATTGAACTAATAAACTACCATTTGAAATTATTGGCTTTAAGCAGAAATGCTTTTAAAAAAATTTGTATAATAATAATTGTTGGCTAACTGACAATTTCTAAAATAGATCTAGCTGGTTTTATATTTAGTGTCTCATTACAAAAGTTGAAGGTTTTTATAATTATTGTCTATTCTAATATGTATATTATTGTTGCTTCAAAATGTAAGTTTTATAGTTTAAAAATTGTAGCACATTACAATAGTGATGAATGGGAAAGATCTGTATGATAACATTTAAAAGTAAATATTATTTTTTCTTTTGTTTTAGGTTCTAAAAGTGTTGAAAACCAAAAGGGATCTTTAGATACAGATTTAGCTTCTATGACTAAGGAAAAAGTCTTGAAATTAGGTGAAAAAGAATGGTAAAGGTTATTGATTATTTTTTACAGTGTTATAAATGTTTTTAATAATCCAGCCTTTAATTGCCGAATCCCAAAACAAAACTTTTATTTTCTTAATATATTTTCTGTAGTGATTAATAGGACAATTAAGTAACTTTTATTGCGACTGCAACCCAATAAAATTTGCATCTGACTAGTACTTTGCCAAATAATTTTTTTTTTCTGCGCGAGCCGCATCATCCACACAGTTTAAAATATAAATTGTCACATTAATTTGAATTTTTTTTTAAAACTTTAAATTGAAGATTTAATATGTCAAACTGCTATAATGTTGCTACTACTTAGAAGGTTTTTCTCAATGGCTGTACATGTTTGCAGCTATATATATATATTCTAAATGTTTAAATTACGAAAAAAATGAATAATGAGCATTTTTTGTGTCTACATCTTACTTACCCGATTAGCTCATTAATCAAGTAATGTATAATTTCAGAGGGGGTTTTGTCCCCAAAACCCTCCCCTAAACTATGCCACTGACCATGGCACAAAAAGGTTAAGAAACACTGTTCTAGAAGGTTAAGGCATGTTTATTAGGTTAGACATGTATTTAATGCTTATGTGACATGTGGTTCTCATTTTTTATTATTTGTTGCTTTAGCAAACAGATGGAAAGGAAAAATAATAGCCATCAAAATAATTCATTGATAAAGCGTCTTGTGTCAACATTAGTGCAAGAGAATGTTATGACGCCTCTAGATGTATGTTTGGCTGAATCTTCCAAAGGTAAACTTATTCAAAAGTCTTAAATCCAATTTGAGTTGTCAATCATAGTTAGTGCAATTATTCTGAATTTTAGTTTAAAGGGAAATTTTTTTTTTTATTGTTTTTCACTGTTATTAAGGTCATGATAATTTAAGAAAATTACAATAAGAAATATGTTACAAGATGATAACTTAATTGTAGAAAAATGATAATTTTGTCAGTAGTTTGTACAGTTATTTTGAAGGAAAAAACAGCTTATAAACTATATTATAAAAATGTCAAAAGCTCTGTTTTTTGAATTCGATTTTGTAGTTTTGATAGAGCAAAGCTTATGGGCTTTTGACAAAAACCACAACAAAAGTAAACTGAGTGCAAATTAATAATTACAATATAAAATTTTGTATTAAAACACATGCTTAAATTATTTCTAAATGAACAGTTCATTCCTTTTAAAAAAATTTAACTATTTCTTTTTATCGTTTTTTTTTTAAAACAAACTTTTCTTAGACTGTTATTGATGTAACAATAGAAATTTATAATTATCTTTTTAATTTTTTGTCTTTTTAAATTTAATTAGATTTTATTATCTTTTTAAATTTGATACTGACAATTTTTGTATTATTTTAATTTTTTTTTATGTGTGACAAAGTAAAATTTTTGCTAACCAAACTCATCATTTGCAATGGGAAGTTATTGCAATTTTAAACTTTTCTTTACAATACAGTAGAGAACCAATTATCCGGGATGCTCGGGACCATCGCTATCCCGGATGTCTGAATTTCCCGGTTTTCTGGATCGGCAAAAAAACGTAGTTTATCGATGTTTTATCTAACCCAAATTACAATGAAAACAAAGTAAAACATTTTAAGAAAAGAAAAGTTCTCTTTAATTAACAAAAATAGAAAAATAACATTTACAAGAATAGAAAAATAACATTTTAATAACATTTAAAAGTTTTGACAAGATAAGTAAGTTTAAAAATTACAAAATTCGCATATATTTATTTTTTAAACATTTCATCAACTTTTAGCTGACGAAACTTTGGTTTTTGATTGAGAAACAACTGTTGGATTTTATAAACAGCCATTACATGAGTTTCCTCAATAAATGACTTCTGTTCCATTCCAGCTATTAGTTCTTTAGTTAGTTGGATACATCGTTCATTAGATATGACAGATACTTGTTCAGCTTCATCTTCGTCGTCACTTTCGTTTTGTTCTGCGCCTGGGTTCAACGCCATCTGAATAATTTCAGAATCCATCATTTCGTTTACAATTGGGACTTCGTTATCTATATTAAAGCACTCATTAATCTCTGCTTCTGACATTAAGTCCCGCTCTAACCATTTTCGAGAGTATTCGCGGAGCTCATTTTGAAAATCTTTTTCTTTTGAAATTTTAAACCCTTCACAGGGATGCTACGCCTGCGCCATTTGCGACAAACTGAGACAAAACGGCATAACTGCGCCATTTTGCGACATTCAGCTCAGTTTCTGCCAAAGCTGCGCCATTCGGAGACAAAACGTCAAAAATTTGGCAAACCTGAATTCAGTTTCAAATATTAATCCGCATTGCCGTGAGTCATTGGAGATCATTTTGCCGTTCACGTCTCCAAGGGATGAAAGACTTCCACGAAAAAGCGGAAATCCGCTTTTTTTCTCCCAATTTTGAAAATTTCCGACCATGTTCCAAAAACTAAAATTTTTGGGAAGTCCTATTGGAGAAACCCAAGCCGCCCGAACGATAGTCGGATTACCGCGACTTCTGCTATAGAGTGGAAAGGAGTCTAAGCGTTTCGTTTCGACCACCGGTAATTGATTTTTTTTTCTTCGTTTGGCTGATTTTCGGAATTTTAAATATTAGGAACTGCGCTGGAATATGCTAAAATCGCGATTTTTAATCAGACGATTTTAATATCAATCATCGATTTTCGTATTTAACTTATTTAAAACTTATGTGTTGCGACTTTTTTTACGCTGTTTAAAAATCGTACTAGCAATTCCTATTCACTCAATTTAAAAATTCAATATCGCGATCTGTATTCTCGCGAGTTTAAAATCCAACGTCGCGATTCGTATTCACGCATTTTTAAATCCAATATTGCGATTCGTTATCACGCAGTTGTAATATCAGATCTCGTTTTTCGTATTTGTACGCTATTTAAAAATTACTCATTGCGA